TAAAAAAAAAAAAAAAAAAAAAAATAAGAAGTTTCTTGAGAATTCCATATTGCACATAAATTATAGCGTTTTAGTTGAATTTATGACACACATTTCTTCCAGCCGAGAAATGGACTTAACGCGTACGAAGCAATGTATCGAAGCATCAGAGTCATTTGTTTATTACAAGTTCATGTTGTAATGGCTTCACGGCCACGAAAGCGTTCCAGAAAATTGTTAGTAAAACACGATTTACGTCATATAAAATACACATATACACACACTTATACGTATTCTAAGTGTGTTTGCCAAAATTGTCGATGGCTTCGATAACTTTCAATAAATTAAGAATATATAATATTAGTGTGGGACTTCGGATTGCCGAGGTCACTAAAATGAATGCAATATGCATGTATGTAAATATAAATCTTATTTCCACACTGAAATGATTTATGAAGAAGTTACCTTGTTTCGACACCTCAACTTCAATGACTTCGTCTGGACACCGAGAGGACACCGAACGAATTTAACTTTTGTAAAACAAAATTCTTAAACGTAACTTGTTTTTTTATAACTACAAGTTAACATTAACGTTCTTACATCACCTTTAGTTAATTATATTAAAATCGTCTACTGTCTACTGTCTTTTAAATACTATTCCGTATATATTATGTACTTAGTTGACTATCCACAATTACATTATTGTTTAGTACGTTGTTTGTGTGTCTTGCTGAGTAAGTATTTTCCATTTAAAAATCTATATCTTTTGGAGAGATTGACTTACAATTTACCTAAACCATAAATATGTACAATCGATTTCACTTTAAATAACTTTCAAATAATATGAGACGATTTTGATTCGATTTTTTAAGATAATACGATAGGCATAAAACGGATATCATGTGATGTTGCGCATGTATCGGTCTATAAACAAGAATTAAAAATCATAGAGAAGAAAAGATCTCATATCATACTATTGGTGTAAAAATATGGACTTTACTAAGCATGAAGCGTGAAGCGATCTTATCATATTTACGTAACTCGGTAAATCTTTTATATGAACGTTTCAAAAGCTTTCCCAACAACTTAAATAATTCGAAATGCCATTTTTTATCTTTATACCCTACCCTACCTACTTGTACTACAAGACTGCAATGGGATAGTGGGTATATATGCAATACTCAGAAGGACTTGGGATAAAACGCACTTTTATTATACCGACCGATTCAGAATCATTTTCCGTCTCGATCTAAGCTTGTCCGTCCGTCTGCTTGGTTTTTTTTACATTCAGCCTACAGATCGCAATATTAGAGATTTTTTTTTTGTTTTTTTTTGTTTCATATGTACATTTATTTGCAAACTATTTTGAAAGTAGTGAACAAGTGTGGACCAATCTTAATTCTCCAAGGAGACAAAAACTTTACAATTTGTACACTTATTTTTATATACATATGGAACTTATTTTAATCTTATAATAATTTACCAATATATACATATTTACATACATACGTATTAAAATTCGTTTTCTATATGGTGGGTCCAAAAAAAAAAAAAAAAAAAATTGGTATCTTTTCAGTCTATTTGTCTGTCTACCACTATCTACAAAACTTATTGCGAGCAAATTCAAATGGTGGCTAAGTCGATCAAGACATCGAGAATTGAAGAAGACAATTTCCGCTTTTACTATGGAAATGCCTAAATCCATATCAATAAATTTATTCATCATAAACCGTGGACCCATTGGAGTTGTTCGCAGTAACCGAATGGTTATATGCCATATGTATGTTCAAATAGGTTTCAGAATTGCTTTGTAAAGCAGCAAAGTGAACTTGGATTTTTCACTAATTAGTCAATATAGACGTTTTGTTTTTATTTCCAAATGCATTTTTTCCCGTATTCTACCCAGATGAATGCCTTGGCAATCGCCCTTTTTTATAGCAAACGGGATGTACGTACATTTTTCAGCATTAACGCATATGTGCCATTCTTCTAGCCATATAGAGGTCATATTAATATTAAAGTGTGCTTGCACAAGCTGCGTACAATTAAAGCCGTATCAGTCGCATATGTACCGACAGTAATGTCTTTAGGTAACGACATATCGAACGAGAAAATAGTGTAGAGCAGAAGACCTAATACACTACTCTGTGCAACGATTTCACGTATGTCTAATATTTCATTGTTTGCTTTAGTAAAAAAGGAGCGTTATCATAAATACGAGCGAAGAACGAAATAGAAAGGAGCAGGAAGGTTCCATTTCAATTTAGAAAGCGGTCCTGGATTCCAAACTCTATCAAAACCTTGCTTCACGTCCAAGAACACTGCTGAGAAGTACTTTTTACTCTCGAACGAATTGCTTACTTCTTTAACGATTCGATGGCATTATTCGATGGCGTGTCATGCTTATAGCAATCGATGTTCAGGCCTTACATTATTATCATTTAATATTGACGGCAGCTTTCGTAGCCGTAGTTCTTTTTCAAAGATTTTCGAAAAGGTGAGAATAGAAAAACTAATTGGCCTCTAAGAGTTAATGTCATCCTCTTTGAATTGTAAATCAAAGTTAATAAGATGCCTTATTGCCCTAGCACATATCTTGTCGTCGCCCAGAGACTTTTCCTAGTTTAAAGGGGATATTTTATCGTCCACTATATATATATATATATAATGGGTAAATCCATGCTCCAAAGGATACCATTACAATTTTTCTTTCATCTTCGGGATTGTTGAAAGGTACATTGTTTTAAGGTAGATTTTAAAAAGCGTTTTAAGAGTGCCTTATTCACATCATGTCTATTTAAATCGTTTATCGATACATTTCTTTTCATTGCCCTTCTTTAACATTTTGTAGCATTCCAAGGCTTATGATTGTCAGTTTTCGTTGGAGATGAGCTTCTTAGAAAAGACTATGGCCGATCCTTTTTGGAAATCAACGCTCAAACGCTGTTTAAGTTAATTTTCAGCTCGGTTTAATTTAATTAATTGTTGCTGTTCCGTTTGATGTTTCCAAACTTTTCCTAACCTCTTTTTTTATCCTAATAAGATTTCTAATCTCATCGGATACGAGAATCTTATCTCAATTTCTTGATTGCTATTCAAGTTAGGTTGATAAAGATCACGCTTCGTCGATCGTGCTGCTAAAGGTTTCCACGACTTTCCTGAGTTTAGTTCAAGCCAGTCCTTAATCAAGCCTGAGGCCTAAATTTTGCTCAAACCTAAAATAATTTTTATCAGCTCTTGAAGAGATCACCTCGTAGATTTTGCGATTAGAAACATAATTCGCGTCGAAGCTAATTATTATTAGAGGCGAATGGGCAGAACTTAAACCATCAGACCCTAATATGTCTAATCAGTAAACGGGAATACCCGAATAAATAACAAAATCCAGTAGATTTGGAATTTATCTGGGATCACTTGCTCAGTGACTACGTCTTCCAGTAGAGCGCAGGGAAAATCTCTTCTTTTTGTTTTTATAGGTACTTGCTAAGTTCCTTGCCCTTAGGATTATCGAGCTTTGAGCGCCACCAAGAATGTTTAGCATTAAAGCCATCTCTGCCGATGAATAATACTTAGTTAATACCTAGTTTAAGAAATAAATTGATACTTGATACTTTGATGAAATGTGAAACACGGCCTTTTTTTCGCCCAATATTTGGATCTTTTTAAAATAATTGTGAAATTGTGTAGGGTATTTCATGCTGGTCCGGATGCGGTGTAATGCTTTTGCTCACCTCAAACTAAAAATTGTCATCAAACACGGTAAGCCGTTAACCTTAGACAAAATAAGAGCAAGGAAAATGCTTGAAATCCATTTCGTAATAAGGTTAAGTAGTTGCCGATATTGAGAGATGGTACAGTTGTTAATAAATATTCATTCACCTTGACTTCTCTATGCAATTTATTTTTATGCCTCTATATATTCAGCAATATTTAAAATGCAGTTTATCATTGCATTTCTTTCTAATCATTAATACGAGATGAGCATGTTGAAGAATCAAATTGTCAGATATCTTAACTTCTCACACGAACCAATTCAAAGCATAAATGAATTTGTCTTTCAAGCTATACAATTGTTAAGACCTTTTTTCAACTGCAAACTTTTGTTTTACATTGCATTATAAAACGAATGTGCTGCGGGCATGTATTAACACAAAACGTAACGTTCAGGTCCAAATATCCGTTCCATATACCGCAGGCGAGAGAAATAATAACAGTTAAAAAATGTCAGATATTTTGCAAGGAAGGCAAAAAATACATTATACTTTTTCCCCGTTAATAAATTTAGTGGGCGTACCCATTCATTCCAAAACATATGTAACTGCCTTTATATGCCTTGACGCTGAAAAACCAATATTTGCGGTTAGCGGCAGTTTTGCGCAATTCGGCGATTCCCACTACGAAAATGATATTGAACTCATCGAGCATCGCTTGGAAAAAATGCACCAAGCTAAATCAGTTCCTTGCTAGGTTATTGTAAGATCGTTTTTCTTCAATTAAAAGATACAAGTTATAATCCAATAGTACATTTTTGTTGCGCAATCGCAAATATACGATTCAATGATTACGTTTAATAATCGCTACGTTACGTCTTCACAATAATAATTATTATCATATATATTCTTCGGCATCAAGTAACCCCACCCGATAGGCCACGTTGCAAAAATTTTGCCGAAAAAAAATAAACAAAATTGAAATAATGTAATATAATATACATATATGCGTATATACATATTGTAATATATAATATAATATAATATTCATAATATGCAAACTCATATAAATTGCTTTTTAAAGTTGAATATGCGTTCGCCGCAATCCTGGTTGAATATGCGATCGCCGCAATCCTGGACACAAAGCATTATTTTGTCTGTTGCAAATATCTGCTTTGCTTATCTCTCCAATTTTTTGTTTTTTTTTTTTCAGGAGATTGTTTCCTATTCGTGTAACACGTTGACGAATAGTCAGGAAGAAGTCAAATTGTGAGCGTAGCCTACCAGCTGTTTGCTTAATCAGCAACGGTCTTGCCTCTACTAACATTAATATATTGAGGGACCATTTGTTGTTACTGTTTTTTGATTAATGATTATCCAAACTTGATTACGGTTTCTGCTACGAATTTCCTTTACAACGTTATTTATGCCCGAAACTTGTTTTTGCCTAATGCAAAGTTCGGAATGCGAGAATTCGAAGGGCATAACTAAAGCAAGCAACAACACCGCAGAACTATTCACTTCTATTTAAGCCATTCACAATTGCACTGCATGTGCACTGTGATACGAAAATGCCTTCAAGTGTTGACGTCAGAATCAGTAGGTAATCCGTACAAATTTTGTCCTTGATTTTTGATAATTGAGAAGTAGGAGTGTTCGCATTTATACCAATCGATCTAAACACTACAGCAGGTTTTGCGGAATACAAACTAAGAAAAGTTGTTGTTGATAAATTTCATTCCTTCATATAAACTTTACAAGCAATATATTCAAAATCTACATGAGACTTCAGTTCAAACAAATGACTCGACTTTACCCCTGTTTTGCTTGCTATACAAAGAAAAATCAGGAAAACATTCAGATGATAAGCAATGCGGTGCAGTGATCGGATATTTATTTCAGGAAAAGGTAACCTATGCACCAATTGTTTGGTAACATGTTAAATATTGCATTATTGTACAGACAATGAGAGAAAGATGATCAAGCAAACGTAAATGACGACCAAATACTATAATCGCTTTCAAGTTGATTAGATTTGCACGATTTAGATTTTCACCGCAGCGGAGCGAACGGTTCCGCAGTTAGTTAAAGTCACAGGCTTATCGGATTCGATCTTCTAATTAATAACTTTAATTACTCAACTTCGTATAAATAAGCTGACTGCGAGCATTCGTTTAAAACGAGTCAATGACAATGAAGGTTTATTGAAAAAATTTCCATTGCTCTCAAAGCAATGAAACTGGCTTCGGTTGCCAATTAGTTAGTACGGATGGTACTTGAGTTTGCTTCCTTTCACCTCGAGTTGCACAAAGCAGTTTCAAAGCAGCTTATACGATCAAAATTTTCCATAAAATATCATTTCCTTGATATACAAAAGGTTGCTTTTAACCCGATGATGCAACAAGAAGAAAGCTGTTCACATAAAGACAATGTAAAAATTGTTGCAATTAATAGATTGAAGAATTTAATCTGAGTTTTTCATAGCAAGCGTCAAGCATTGTCGACGAGTGGACCCACTCTCTTGTTCTCAAACTACAATTTGATTGTACGTCACTTATGCTTTGCGTCAAATGCAGCAATTATATCACCCGTTAAAGGAATATCTATGAATTGCTTGTTTAAAATCTTTCTAGCGACGAATTAAATAAAATCATAAAACATATTTAAATAAGAATATACTAAAAAAGTGATGTTATTTTTGTACATTAATTAAAGATATCGCATTATTCGAACATTTTGACCTGGAAGCAACAAAACACATTCGAGTTCATGTTTTATATTGATTAATTAAAGTATTATTAAAAAAACGCCCTTTCGATGAAGAATGCACAAAAAATTCTCCTTGACTTAATCACCTGCGCTATGCTAAAGAATTTTCGAATTATATATATACATTTGTATGTATGTAATCATGAAGTCAGAGTATATTGGAACTCGCAATAGAACCTACATAGACCCAAAAGTATTGACGACCTTTTCCACCCGGTCTAGCTTTCGAGATGAAGATTTCTAGTTAAGAATTCAAAAAAATAATATTCTGGGATAGGTCACAGTTGCAAGAACACAAGCATATGGAATTTGACATAAATAGTCTGTGAACGCAAAGTCTGAACGTGTTTGCAATTTGTCAAAATATACGCAGATAATATAGAGATGAGAATCTGGAATGACCTCCACAAAATATCTGCAATATCTTCATATTTTCGTCCACAACTTTCGATTCCATAATGACAATTTTTCGGAACAACTGCTGTCCAGACATTCGGGACGATCATCTGCGCTTTTAGTCTGAAAGTGATACTAATCGATAATTAACGATAAAACTTGAACTTATTTTATTTCCAATCTTTTCGTAATTTGGAAAACAACATGGTAATGTGTATTAGAACGAATAGAATTGAGTTGGTCGGTAGTTCTAGCTTAATTTTGAAATGGAATTTAATATGCCAAATAATTCAAATTTTCATATTGTTCTAATAAGGTTTAAGGATTTTATCAATCATTCAATTTCGAAAGAATTGTTTTGCGGTTAATCTACAAACTTAACTGAAGGAAATTCATAAAAATAATGTATAGAAGATTTAAAAAGCTAAGTGAATGTGACCCATTTTATGCTAACATTTCGTATAATCGTCCCTTTTAAAGGTTACAATAAAAAAATCATAATGAATCACGCATGCACACACCAGATTAGTAGGATAATAATAACAACCTTGAGTATTTACTTCACGTTCTTATTACAATTGTGAAAGAAAACAAACACAAAAAGGTTCTTTTAATTATGGCACAAAAATATGAGTAGATATGTCAAAATTAGCAAAGTACATTTCCAAAGTCTAAGGAAAGGATGGTAAATGAAAGACATATTGGAAAATGTGAAAAAAAAAAATCGAATCAAATGATAACAAATGTGTATATATACACGAAAATATTACTGATATTAACAGTAATGAGTCAGAAACACACTAACATTATAATAAGGAAAGCATAGAGATTCGCTTACGACTGCATATTTTCATTATATCAATTCCAAGAAATCACATCTAGTGATCGAATGTTAAAAATGACTAGGTTTTTAAACATTCTAGGAAGTAATATATTTAAATTTTTGTTATGATCTTGTACAGCTGCCGATGAACAAAGATGCGGCCATGTGCAATTAACAAGGGTCTAATATAGCAACTAAAGTTTCTTTGTTTAACTTTCAAACCATTCGCTACTTGCCCTTGGGATTACTTAAGATATTCAATGTTATGTTTTTGGGGAATCTGAACGAATATTTTTTCATTTTTTTTTTTTTCATTGCAGTTAATTTATCCTTCATGTTGGCGTGTCATTTAAGGGAATTTTGTAAAATTTTGCTTATTTGTTGTGTCAGCATAGAAAAATCAATTAACGCTTACTGCGCAGCCGGCTGTCCGCCCATTCTCTTCTTAGTGCCGCATACGCCACCAACAAAACACACACACATATATTTTACATAAATACATACACAACACTTCTACACATCCTAGCCTCAACAACATTATCAATAACACAAGAAATTATATGCAGATGCAATGACTGCTTACGTCGCTGCTACTCTTTTTCACTTATTCGTTTCATCCAAGAAATTGTTCTCGACCAAATTTCTTTTTTAGATAATTAAAAACTTACGATAATTTTCGTTTATCCGAGCCACTCATTTCTTTTTGTTTATTGTGTTTCTTTGAATCAATTTAATTTACTTTCCGTACCACTTTTATAATAAATTAACTTCAATTTTTTTTGTGAAATTTTCCCTTTTTAATAATTACTTTGAAATTCTCAGCCTCTTTACACAATTTGCGAAAAAACACTACTACCACAAGTACATTCGTTCTATTGTGTGTATGCGTGAGGCAGTGATGTTAATGCATTGGTTTTTTGAAATTTCATGACAAATTTTCAAAGCGGTACTGCCAACATTACGAAAAATATTTTATTCCATATGTTCCAAAGTAGCATAAATACTAACAAAATTGCTTATCAAAGAAATAAATTCTATAAAATGCAGGCCCTTTAAAATATATAGGAATATTAATCGTAATTTCTTTATTGCTTGCTTTATTGGCATACATGTGTCAATATCCGTTAGTTAATTATTTTTTCTAGTTTATGTCAAAGAATATAATAAAAAACATTAAACTTGAAATTCATTTGCATTGGCATTTCCTTCACTTCGTTTCAATTTTGCGTACCTCTATTTTTTGAATATGCTTAATGTTATCTAATAACTCATAATTGAAGGTAAAAATAATCTTAATAACCCCTTGTAAAATGGTTTGCGATAGGCGAGAAAATGCAGCTGACACTGCATTTCCCGTAGAGTTGTTTACTAATCTAGCCGTTATATATATATATTATTATATACATAAAATGACTTATCATGAAAGTTTATTAAATTATTTTTTATCATTCATTATTAATTATA